CTTGACATTTGATCTCTGTTTTATTGAACAGTTGCACTGCGATGGGGACTTAAATATTGTAATTTTTTATTTTTGTTTATTTGTCTGAATACTGTTCCTGCTCAAGATTTTTCTAGAAAGATTGAATGCTCTGATTCCCTCCCGGTTGCGAGTAACTACATTTTGTATATAGCTGTTTTTACTTGTATATAGAAATTTTAATTTTGAATTGGAGTTTTAACTGTATATAGAGATTTGCATATTAGCTAATGAATTTATTGTATACTGTTTATTAGTTTATTGTATTATTTTATTACTTGTTTGTATATGTTTTTAAATGTTTCGCGGGTTTATTTTATTTTGCCATGATAATTGTCATTGTAAGCATAAATTTAAATCATTGTATGTTGGCTCAGGCCCAACTCCAGGTGCTTAATGAGATAATAGGCTCTTACCCTGAGATCATATGCATGCAAGGAGCCACTATGCGGTTCACCACGAATTGGCCTACCAGAGACCTGACTGGAGATGCGTTATAGAATAAAGATGGAGAGAACTGGAATCATTGTTATTCAGACCTGATATTCGATTTTACACGTGACTATGAGTCTGATGTCTGACGTTCATCACGCAATCTCGATTTATGAGTCATCGAGCAGATTGGGAATTATTACTGTGTATTTTCTCAGCTGCCGAAGACATAGAGGGATATCTTTCACAACTCGAAATGATTATCCGAAAATATGACAAATTTATTCATTACTGGTGATTTTCAATTCTAAACACCCAGTTGGGGTTGAGGTGCCAAAGAGCATTGACGCCCGTGGACGATTGGTTTTTGATTTTATATTAGCTAACAACTTGATTTTATTAAATGATTTTAGTTCTCTTGCGACTTTTAAATCTAGTATTGGTGAGGGCTGGACAGACTTGATAATCGTCTCACCAGGCTTGCCCTTTGGCCCTGAGGCTTTTGAGGTATTAATAGAGGAAAGCTTAAGCGATCATCGATATCTCCGATTATCTTATGATTTTAACACTCACTGCACACGCCTAGGGCAGTTTTAACAAAAGATGTTTATCGAATTATGAGATATTGTAAGAAAACTGGGTCCTAAAATGCAAGGATTTAAATTTGATTTGTTTAAATGTTGCTCTTCTAATGACTTAGAGAACTGTATTGTTAAATTCTTCAAAGAATTATCTATGGATGCCAGTAGGAAATTACGCGTGCCAGACAGACTGAACGTTCAGAAATATCTTGGTGGACTCCTCAACTTGCCCTTATGCGTCGACGAATTCGAGCTATGAGAAAAAAGTTCACAGGTACCAGGTTTGATGGATAATATTAGAACTGAAAGAAAAATTTATTTACAAGAAAGAACTAGCCGTTCTATAAACGTCTGATAAGAAAGACTAAGTTTGAGACTAAAAAGAAGTTTTTTCGTTAACAATATACATTATTATGATGGCTTTTATAGGACTGCTTCCAAAAAAATTAAAAGAACTGGTACCTTAAGTAATTCCCAACAAACTGATGATTTAGTTGAACTTAACAGACAGACAGTTAACAGGCTCTCAAATTAGGTGTGCCAGAGAGATTTATGCTTAATGATGAAGACCTGGCAGTATGCTCTGAAAGTGATGTTGCTATTACTCAAGTGGAGATTAAAAATGCTACTGATCAATTGAGGCGCAGAAGTGCTCCAGGTCCTGACCAGTTTTAATCCAATATTTGTACAGACTTTAATTTATATTTTTTTAGATGTTTTTACTTCACTTTTTAACCACTGCTTAAAATTTCATTCATTCCCAAGAAATTGGAAACTCGGACGTGTCATTTTGATTCCCAAACAAAATAATAAGTATAGACCAATTGTCTTACTCAGTGTCTTCGGTAAAGTTTATGAAAAGATACTGATAGAGCGACTGAGATTTTATTTAAACAGTCAGAAGTTGCTTAGTCAGCGGCAATATGGTTTTTCTGCAGGACGCTCAACAGAGGACGCTCTTTATGATACCTTAGAATTCATTAAGCGCTACAAAAATTCTCAACATGTGGTTTTGCTGTCTCTGGACGTTTCGTCGGCCTTTGACTCTATACACTGGACTTCAATCTTACAAACTTTGATCGGGCTAAAGGCCCCAAAAAATTTGGTGCAAAGTTATATGAGTTATTTCAGTAATCGAAAAATCATTTACAACGCCTTCAAAAGTGAAAGATGCGCAGATTGAATTAGATATTCATATGGGGTGTCCGCAGGGCTCCTGCAGTGCTCCCCTGCTTTGGAACATTATATTGAACAAAGTTCTAATTTTAGAATTTCCCGATGATGTAAAGTTTATTAGTTACGCAGATGACTTGGCAATCTTAATGAAGGGAGATTCTTTGGAAAAACTTGAGCGTTTTGTTTGAAAACAGTTATGAAACCGCTGGAAGATTGGAGGATCGGTGAAGGGACTGGATTTTAATATAGCCAAGACTTCTGCGATTTTGTTTCCGCGTGGCGGAAGTAAGGTGCGGCCACCGCGATTTAGATACCATGGTCAGAGAGTCAAGTTTACCGACGCCATCAAATACCTAGGCATTATTATAGACTCTAAACTTACTTTTGCAGAACACTTTCGAACAGTTCACCAACGTTCTGACGATATATTAATGTATTATAAGCGATCGTTCTCCGGTGATACCCTCTCTTACAAGGCTCAAGTGTTAAAGGATATATTAAATTGTGTTATAGTTCCAAAGATACTTTATGGAATTGGTGCATGGGGTTCCAGAGCGGGGGAACTGATTAGACTAAGGAGCAAACTCGACTCAATACAAAGGAGTTGGTGCCTAGCAATCACAAGATGCTTTCGCACAGTGTCAACTGAGGTGGTCTGTGTTCTTGCCGGCACGTCGCCTCTTTCTATTATGTATAAATTTTATTATGAGAAATTTTTATTTAAAACTCAGAGAATGGAATTTAAACTTTATAATGACGTTTTTTTAATTACAAAACATATGTTTGCTAGATTTTTCTACAGATTTTGTACATCCCTCAGAGTATTGTACCTTTTGCTTTGATTGTGTTCTTCCTGTAATAGGAGAAATAGACGTATACACTGACGGGTCGGGACAGGACGGTCAATTTGGGTGCAGCTTTCGTGATTTACTTTTTTGGGTGTTGAAATTGTAAATAAAATGTACAGGTTGAATAGTTACAATTCTGTTTTTCAAGCGGAATGTTGTGCGCTCCTTAAGGCTTTGCAATGGATTAAGAGTAATTTGAGCTGTGTAAATACTGTACATATTTACTCTGATTGTATGTCTATGCTGCAGTCTCTGTCCTGGGCCCGTACAGCCAATGTTATAATTTTTGAAATTAAGTGCTTGTTAAAATTATTGAAACAACGCATGGATGTTTATTTACATTGGGTAAAGGCCCATGTTGATTTTACCGGAAATGAAAGAGCCGACGTGTTGGCAAAACAAGCCATTTATGATGAACGAGTTGAATTCTTTGAGACGTCCGGTTCGAAAAGCTATGCTATTAGAAATATGAAAAATTTTTATTTGAATATCTGGACATTACAATGGAAAGAATCTGAGAGGTGCGCGGGTTTATTGCAGCATATTAAAATTAAAAAAACGAAATGAAGCCGATTAGCGATATAGATCTGAATCAGTTCTTGACTGGACATGGCCGTTTCCCGCGTACCTCTCTAGGTTTGGTTTGCAAAATTCAGATTTATGTGGCGTTTGTCATGTAGTTGGGAACGCAGAGCATTTTTCTCAATCACTGTCCTTTGTTAAAGGATTTGAGAAGCGAATCGAATGCTTTAGTGATAACAAACATTAGGTATTGAAACTTTAAAAAGATTCTCTAGAAATGCAATGTCTTATATAAACAATAATAGAGTGACATTTGGTGTATTAGTTTAAATTATGTCTTTAAATATTTCAATTATTTTGTCTAAATTTTTTGCTTTATTTTATGTATTATTCATGTGTATGTATTGTATGGTGTATGTTGTTTTTTTTTTTTTTTTTTTTTTTTTTTTAATTTAAACATATGTTTACAGTACATATATACAGTTTAGGTCACTCTGTAATAACATAAACATCATAGACCATAGTTTAAATATTTTAATTGAATTATAGGCTTTTAAATTATTTTATATGTTTTTAAGATAATTTTATCAATTCAACGATCATTTGTGAGCCGAGGATTTTATTTACTTGTAGTAGTTGTATTTTATTGTACTTGTATTTTATTTTACTTGATGATGTAGTTATTTTGTTCTGCTCTAACCGGGGCTTTAAGTGGCAAAGTTAAAATTAATATTGCTGTCAGATTATAATTATTTTCTATTGCATTTTTAACTATAGAACACCTTATTGCGTGCGACCTTGGTGTGACTTTCTGCAGGTTCTTTTCCTTTTGGGAATTCCCCAATGAACCTTTGAGGTGCTTAGTTATTTATGTTGTTTTATGGTTTGAAGCGAGTTTTATTATGTGACAGAAACAGCCTCTCTGTAAGTGTTTTTGTCTGTGATTGTTTGATTGCGTAAGTGTTTGTTTGTGTTTTGTGTCATTTTCTTATCTTTAGTTCTTCTATTAACCCTTCTTTATTTTTGGTTGGTTATTTTATGTTTTCTGTGATGTTTTATCAGCGTGGTTTGGAGGAGGGTTGACCTATTTTTAATCATATGGTCCCGCTGGGACAAGGCGGATTGGGTCTCCCTCGAATAGTTCACGAATAGTTCACGCAGAATATGATTCAATAACACTGCAGTTTTTCTTCAGATCGTTCTTTCAACGAATATGCATTTTATTGTGAGAACTGGTTGCGAAGGGTTACACACTGAAAATAATAGTTCTTTGTCACATGAAAAGATTAAAAGTGGTAAGAAGAAACAGATGCTCTCAAAGTTTTAAAACAGAGTATCGATTTGTTTTCAGAAATTGCCTTTTATTTACTTATTGATCTTCTGTCCCCGTTAGTTTATGTATAAAATATCATAGTTCTTCCAGGAAGAAAAGTTGTGAATAGTTTGGCACCTGTTAACCTACATTTCTAGGTTAACATAAATTGAAGAAAATGTCGAATAAATTGAAAAGAGGGTGAACCTTTCTCCATAGAGGTACTTCGTATTTCTTCAGGTAAGCAAAGCCACTTAGTTATTTCTCGTTTATGATACTATAGTGAAAAGTATAGAGCAACAATAGTAATGAAATAGAAGAATTAACAATTACTCATTGCACGAATAACCTTTAATATCCTAATATAGCTTTTAGAGCAAGAGTTTATAAACCTTTTATTTATATAACATGCCTATCATAAATAACAACTTTCAAAAAATTTAATTGCCAAGCATTGCAAATAGATATTTTTGCTACATAAAGAGTTTACAAGAGAGTTTGTTTTTAATTTCCTGAGCTAAAATTAATTGTTTATTTTGTAAATCATAATAGTAATATACACATCAGTGATTCAGATAGGTGTTGTCTATTAGATTAAGATAAACGCTTTCAAATTACTATGACGCTGTGGAAGTTTATACCTGATTATTTAACTGTTTAGGAAAAGATTAAAAGGACTTAAATGAATTATTAGAACCATGTTTAAAACCACAGAGTTTTCTAAGAGAAAATTTACGTTTGTTTTGATCCTTACATCATTCTAGACTTTTCTTATGATAAATACATTAATTAATTTAATTAAAAAATTGCAACTTGAAATTTTAATGCTTCGAAGAAGAGCTTCAAGAAGTTAACAAACATTTTAAGAAACAAATAAATTAAAAAATTTCAAAACGTTACAATCCAGTTTTCTCATGCTGATTCTAATTTATCTCCTAAAACAATTTTAAGCTAAACGTGATTAACCTGTAAAGTTTAGTGTTTATTAACCCATTACCTTATTATCTTATCTTTACTGTCACTTATACTTCGTCGGCTCCCACCAGAAAGCAAATTAGTTAGCATACTATATGTAAGAACGGAGTTACTTACAGAAAGAGTTTTGAAGTTAAATGTAAGCTTTCCCCATCATCTCTGATTTGTATCGTGTTATGCTATATCGCCTAGCTTTTAGAATCACCAAAATTGGCTCCAACCAGTAATTAGTCGTATATTGTTTGTAGAACCCTGAGTAAAAGCTTATTCTGCTAAGACTTTCCTTTGTGAATTCTAAGTATTATTTACTTAAATTTAATTTTACTACTTTATGTTAGCTTAAATATCTCAAGCAGCAGGGGTTGATTTTGTAAGGCACGAGCTGTGAGAATTTTTAAGTTATAATAAGAACGTTTATTATAAACTTTCATCTGAGATATATTTGCTTCACTAAGGCATGGCCATTAGTCGCGGTCGATCTACAGAGAACTTGTTAAAAAATGTTAAGAAGTGGCAATACTTTTTATCTTACTGCGACACGAAATCAGTTTTCTAAAAACACTAAAATCCTGTTCGCGGTATTTAAAGAATAGGAAACTGTATTTTAAGAATCTCGAAAATTTTTATATCGTTGATTTCTTCAATTTCCTGAGTTCCAAAAAGATTCTTAAAGACTCTACAGGCGGTGCCTAAACTAAAGGTGGTGGACGATATTTCATAACCACTGCGTTCTGGCGATTGGATCACCGCTTTCCCAGTCACCCTTTAAGCGAGACGGAATTATAAGGTATTTTTTCCTTCCTTGTCGCGTGCCTTCGTATTGTAATTGGAAAATACGTTAGGCTGGCAATGGGAAGAAATCCCCGCAAGGGCATCGTTGATTCTTCATGTACACTGGCCTCGAAAACTTCTAAATATCTATAAAACATTTTAAATAAATAAAAACTGCAGTTATACTGTACAGAGATTAAGAATTTATTAAAGCCGGAAATAAGACAAATCTGCGATGCTGTAGCCAATTTTCGAACTCCAAACTCCATATTGCCAACCGGAAGGGGTTCTAATCATACCACAAAGGCACACGGTAAGGAAGTGGGAAAATCCTAAAATTTTCTCACACTTATATGCCTGGACCCAGTCGCCAAATTCTGGTGGTGACGATTTATGGTTCCCCATATTTTTATTAAAGCGTCACTCGTAAGGTCGGCTTAAAATTTTCAAAGACGCACAATATTATAAATCAGAATGCTTTCCCCGTGATTCAAACTTCAGAACTTCCGACTGTTAGCTGGACGTGCTTCCAGTTACACCACGATAGCCCGAGGGAACAAAGAGCGAAATTCCTTATAATACATGATAGTATAATAATACGAAATAATCTATGCCCTTAACAAACAAACATAAGCCTCGAAACAAAAATTAAAAGCTCGAAAAACCAATATAATACAAGCCTATTTTAGAATAACTCGGTATTTATAAGTCAGATCCACAGGTTAAGAGGTGTATACGAGCTCTTAAATTTAATAACTAAAAGAATTTAATTGATTTTAGCTCTAAAAAATTAAAAATAAATTTTCCTCCAATGAAATCCGGTAATCTAATTTCCTCTAAAGGAAAATTAGAGAAAAGAAAGAAATAGGTAAATTATGTTATTTTGACTGTTAATCTTTGTTCATCTGTAAACATTAACTAAACATCTCAGCTGGCGGATTCATTCGCTTAATCTTACAAACTTTTTGATCTTGTTGCAAAATCAGGTAGGAGAATTACAATTGAAAATCTAGGATGTTTCTAACCTACAAAACATCTGGATATAATTTATAATTATAGAATATGAAATGTATTTTAGTTAACTTCGTTCTGTCTGTCTAACAGCCTCAATTAGTAATGCTGTAATCAGAAAAACATATTTTCTTGTATCATCAATTAAAATAAATACAAAATGTAGAATTTTGGCAAAAGTACGACTTCCATCCGATTCCCGTAACGATGCCTCTATATTTTCGGAAATGCAAATACAATTTGCATCCGTCAACACCGACGTCGCAAATTTCACTCATTTGACGGCGATTACCTACATCTGAAACTTTCAATTCCATGACAATATTAAAAATGCATTGACGTTAGAAATGCCAATATATTTTTTCCAAGCCTAGTCGCTTCCTTTTTTAATAATTTTACAATATCATATTACTGTCTGTGATTTAATGATTAGTGCCGCATAGCAAATTAAAAATTCTAAGAACTGTCAATCAATGTAAAATAAAAGTTTTAGGTTAGTTTTCAAGTGCCTAAAATGTTATGTGAGTTATCTTATCAGAAATCACACAACGTATTGAAGAGATATGTGTTTATATTAAATGTAAAATTAGACAGAAAGAAAAATTTAATTGTCTGTGTTCCTGGAGAAAGAAGATTGATTTCAATGACAATAGCCATCGATATATGCTATTCTAAGTTTGCGTGTTTTTTTGCTTAATTTTACCGGATTAAAGTTGAGTCTTTTATTGACTCTGAATGCAGCAGTCCTGGTGTGGTGTATGTGGTGTATTTAATTATGGCAAAGCACACTAGGGCTATCTGCCTAAGAGGAGGGATGCCTTTCGCGGAGGACTTTCTAAGAAAAACTGGCTCGTATACACGTTACGCATGGGGAAAACCACGAAACACCCATGCAGCCAGCCCGTTCGCGGGATTCGAACCTCGGACCGAACTACCAGTGTTCAGCGACTTTACCGCTCGGCCGCTGGTGGGCCGCAGCAGTCCTGATATTAAACATTGTTTCATGTTATGTAATTCTCTCATGCTTTAATTAACTTACGTGTTTAGAATTAGTACTTTCTTTTAAATATTAATCACATTAAGTTGAAAAGAGTTTAATAACCTTCGTATGTCTTTCAGAAGTGTCCAGTTATGATATAAGAATAGTTTTATACTTATTTTAAATTTTTTTTCAAAAGAAGCAAATTACATGGAAATAATGTGATTATATACATTTTCCGGTATTCTGTGTTTTGTTTAGTTATATATATTTATTTTACCTATAATAAATTTCATGATAACTTTATTAATGATTAATAAAATTTGAACTCTTTTTTATGCAGAAAAAGTTTCAATTTGACGTGGTTTACTATTTTATTTTTGTATAAATTAGTTTTCGCACTTTTTAAAAGAATTTCTAATTTACAGGGTCCCATTATTGACAAACTAATTAACTCGTTATTATTAAAAATGCAATTAACCTAGCAACGTAGACTGAAAAATAAAGTACTCAGCGTTTCATAGAACAATTTAGTAAATGCGCCAAGCCTCCTTTGGTATCTAGTAGTAAAACAAAATGTTTTTGCTCTGTCAGAAATGATCTAGTCTGCATGTCTTATCTAATCCAAATGCCATTAGCATCAAACTCAGACTGTTGGAGTCTGCAAGATGTAAATTGGAAGCTTTAATGCCTTTTCGGAATGCTTTTATTTTCTGTGCGTTAAACTGGAGAATTTCAACTTCATTAATGCGAATTACCTCATAAAGAAAAACGATATTATGTAACCATCGACAGTTAAGATCGCAACTGTTTAGTCTAGATAAGTAAATTTGAATTGATGAATGCACTTGTTTAAAGCAGTCGCCCTACCCGCTGCTGATTCTATAAATAATCCGTCTATTTTTAAATCATAAAGGGAGGTCAAATTCTAGGTACATCTGAACTGTATAAACTTAATAGATCCATAGTATAATAAATTCGTTAAAGGATTTTCTAAAAATTTCTAGCTATTTTCAGAATTTATGTAGAACTAGAAGCTTTGCTGCTAGCCTTCGTCTGGCTTTTAAATGTACCGGAAAAATGGCTGAAGGAAACACCAAACGTTAAATTTAAAAACTGCGTAGAATTTTACTCTGCAGAACAACTTCATAGAAAAATGTTATTACGTATAACAAAATTACAATGAAATAAGCAATATCCCTTAATACAAATATTAATTATCCTAATAAATACATTAACCAACTTCCCTTTGCAAAATCTTAAGAACTCAAATGGTATAAAGGAGGTTAAGAACTTTGGTTCCTAAAACAATCACTCAAAATTTTTCGATATCTTAAAAACAGTGAAATGAGCAATAAATAACATAAAAGAATACAAAAAACAAAAAAATTCTGAAAATCAAAGTATAATTAATAATATTTTATCTTATATTTTCAAGAAAAAAATTGCAATGAAATAAGCTATATCCTTTAATACAAATATTAATTATCCTAATAAAAAATTAACCAA